GAGTGCTGTGGACACCGGCGGACCCTGCAGCCTCCCACACAGAGAAGGAAGCGGAGGTTCAGAGAGGTCCTCGGCCAGGCAGGTGCAAACCAGAGCATAGGCTCCCAACTCCCCGCTCGGCACCCAGCCTCCCCTTGCCCTTGCACTCCACCGCTGTCCCTTCTTCTTTAAGCCCCTCCCCCCTTAAGAACACAGCTTTTTATTTTTGTCTGAGATACAAGCCCTCATTTGGATGACGCGACTGGAGCCAAGCAGTGGGTTAGGGCGCTAGCTCTGCCCCCTGTTCCGGGGAGCTCCAGCCAAGGAACAAGCTAAGCAGGCTCTGGACAGCTGCAGGCTGTCACATCCACTGCGACAGACCTACAGCCTGGGGGCCCAGCGGGCCTTAGAAGCCAGCATCCCGTATGAGCACTGGTTCGAGTGCTGGCTGCTGCACTTCCCATCCAGCTCCCTGCTAATGCACCTGGGAAAGCAGCAGGAGATGGCCCAGGGACTTGGGCCCTGCCACCCGTATGGGAGATCCGGATGGAGTTCTCCTAGCTGTTGTGACCATTTGGGGAGTGAACCAGCAGATTACAGGCTGGCACCGCGGCTCACTTGGCTAATCCTCCGCCTGCGGTGCCGGCACCTCGGGTTCTAGTCCCGGTTGGGGCTCCGGATTCTGTCCCAATTGCTCCTCTTCCAGGCCAGCTCTCTGCTGTGGCCCGGGAGTGCAGTGGAGGATGGCCCAAGTGCTTGGGCCCTGCACCCCATGGGAGACCAGGAGAAGCACCTGGCTCCTGGCTTCGGATTGGCGCAGCACGCCGGCCGTAGCAGCCATTTAGGGGGTGAACCAACGGAAAAGGAAGACCTTTCTCTCTGTCTCTCTCTCACTGTCTAACTCTGCCTGTCAAAAAAATAAATAAATAAATAATTCAGTCTACAGACTGGCACTTCTGGGGCAGGACTGCCCCCAGACTCTGCATGTGATGACAGAGACGAAGGTGATGAATACGGAGAATGTCACCCATGTGTTTGCAGCCCGGTCTGTGTCTCTGTGGATTCTCTAGAACTCCATATTTGGTTAGGAATTGGGAGTGAGATCAGAGTGTGGCCCGTTTCTCATTCCACTGCTCCTCTGACTTGGCCTTGCCGCCTGGGTGGGCTGGTGGGTTCACATCTTCTGGTTGCTGGCAGGGGCCAGGCCCTGGGCAGGCTGTTGGGCTAGCCAGTCCTCCCTCGCAGTGACCTCACGACCCTACTTACTGCCCACCAGGCCCCGCCTCCTACAGGCTCCATCCCACAGTGCCACACCAGGGACCAAGCTGCACACATGAGCCCTTCAGGGACAAACCACACCCAAACTGTGGCAAAGGGGCTGTCCCAGGTTAAGATACTGAAGAGACACACGAGATCTAACACGTGTGGTCCTTCTTTGGAAGCCACACCAGCAAATCAACCGTGAAAGACATGTATGGCGGCAGGTGCTTGGCCTCACAGTTAAGGCGCCCACATCCCAGAGCAGCTACCTGGGTTCAATTCCCGGTTCTGACTTCTGAGTCCAGCTTCCAATGCAGACCCGGGGAGGTAGGAGTGATGGCTCCTGTCACCCACAGGGGAGACCTGGATTGAGTTACTAGGCTTTAGCTTTGGCCCAGCCCAGCCCCTGCAGGCAGCTGGGAAGTGAACCTGCAAATGGGCTTGCTCACTCTCTCTTTCTCTCTCTGCCTTTCAAATGAATAAATACACACAAAAATATTTACAGATGAAATCAGGTATTTGGTATTTGCTTCAGAACACTATGGAACACACCTCAGCTGAGAGAAGCGGGTTGCCGATTGCTGAAGGACCTGGGGCTGGGTACGAGGAGCTCTGGGAGAGCATCTAACACCCTCTTTCCTGCGCCTTCAGCCTTTTAGAGAACAGAGGCTTCTGTTTGCTTTCTTGCAGCACCTCCGCACGCGTTTAGATGCTGGAGACCACACGACCGTGAAAAGGAAAATTGTCCCAATGTCTTGTAATGGATAATTGTGTTGGGGCAGTAATTTTCCTGTGGTGGCATCTCATGGGGATGCTAAGTGCTGTATCTTATCCGGAATGGGTGGAAATGAAGATAATGTAACCTGGACAATGAGTGACAGGAAAAGGGCCACGACAGCAACAAAGATGCCGGCACCAGAGGTGCGTCGAGGCCGGGAGTCAACTGCTTCCTGGCATCTGACAGTGTGGAAAAGCAATATTCATAAATAGTGTACTATCGCTCAAAACACGAAGTAGGGTGGTACCTAAAGGGATAAACTGAATACTGTAAGTGGACATGGAACTCATGTCAGTGATTCTCAACCAGGGGTATCCGTGCCCTGCAAACATTTGTCAATGTCTGGAGACTTTTTTTTTTTTTTTAAGATTTATTTGTTTATTCAAAATGCAGAGAGAGAGAGAGAGAGAGAGAGAGATCTACTGATTCACTCTCCAAACGCCTGCAAACACCAGAGCTGGGCCGGGCTAAAGCAGCAGCCAGGAACTGAACACATGGCTGGCGCAGACTCCAGTACCTGGGCCATCATCTGCAGCCTCCTAGGCACATTAGATGCAGTTTGGGGCCCTGCGAGTTAGGCTGCAGCTTAGAACTCCCACATCCAAAGCTGAAGGGCCTGGGTTAAGCCCCAGTTACTCCACAATTCCAACCTAGCTCCCTGCTAATGTACCTGGGAAGGAAGCAAAAGATAGTGCCGGTGCATGGGTCCCTCCCACCCACGTGGGAGACCAAGATGGAGTTCCTGGCCCCACCATAACTGTTGCAGACATTTGGGGAGTGAACCAGCAGATAGAACTGTCTCTGTTGCTCCCTCTCTCTGCCACTCTGTATTTCAAATAAATAAACAAAATTTTAAGAAGATACATTTTTTTGTAAACATTTTTTTTTTGACAGGCAGAGTGGACAGTGAGAGAGAGAGAGACAGAGAGAAAGGTCTTCCTTTACCATTGGTTCACCTGCCAATGGCCACCATGCTGATCCGAAGGCAGGAGCCAGGTGCTTCTCCTGGTCTCCCATGCGGGTACAGGGCCCAAGCACTTGGACCATCCTCCATTGCACTCGCGGGCCACAGCAGAGAGCTGGCCTGGAAGAGGGGCAACCGGGACAGAATCTGGCGCCCTGATCGGGACTAGAACCTGGGGTGCCGGTGCTGCAGGCAGAGGATTAGCCTAGTGAGCCGCGGCGCCAGCAAGATGTATTTTTATGGGGCCAGCACTGTGGCTTACTTGGTTAATCCTCCGGCAGCGGCGCCAGCTTCCCATATGGACACCAGGTTCTGTCCCAGTTGCTGCTCTGCTAGACAAGCTCTCAGCTGTGGCCCGGTCAGTGCAATGGGAGGATGGGCCCAAGTGCTTGGGCCCTGTACCCGCATGAGAGACCAGGGAGAAGCCCCCTGG